TGATTAATTAATTCTTTGTATTTTTCTTAGTTTCAATTCTGTTAACTTCTCTGATTGTTGTAATTTCTTCCCTTCTTATGCTTTGAATTTGACTTGCTCTTCTTTTTCTAGATGTTTGAGATGTAGTCTCAGGTTATTTATTTGTATTCACTCTGTTTTTGTGATGTGGGAATTCACTGTGGTAAATTTCCCTCCGAGGACTGCTTTTGTTGCATCCCACATGTTCTAGTAAGTTGTATTTTCATTTTCATTTGCTTGTACATATGGTATAATTTCTTCTATAACCCATTGATTGTTTAGGAGTGTATTATTTAATTCCCATGTGTTTATGGAGTTTTTGCAGTTTCTTTTTTATTAATTTGTATTGTATGTAGTGTCCTTCTTTACCTGTTTTGATCTTTTTTGTTTGAGTTGACATTATTTGCAAAGAGAATAGCTACCCCTGCTCTTTTTGGGTCCCTGTTGCATGAAGTATTATTTTCTATCCTTTGACTTTCTGTCTATGGATTTCCTTTTGGATCAGATGGGTTTCCTGTATACAGCATATGACTGGATGTTGTTTCTTGGTCCAATCTGCCAGGCTGTTTCATTTAATTGGTGAATTGAGGTCATTTAGATTAATAATTATTTGGCTTATTTTTGTCATGTTCTTTGTGTTGTTGGTTTTTTGCCTTTCTCCTTGAAAAGGGTTTGGTAGCTGTGCTTTGTCATTTTATTCTGTTGGTGTACTTGAAGTTGTAGTTATTTTTATGTCTATCTAGAATATATTTCAATATTCTCTATAGGGTTGGTTTAGTGGTCATGAAGTTCTTCAGCTGTTCTTTGTCATAGAATTTTCTTATTTCTCCATCTATTTTAAAGGATAGTTTTGCAAGGTACATCAATCTGGGTTGGAAGTCATTTTCCTTTAAGATTTGTAATATTTCAATTCCTGCCTCTTGACTTGATTGCTTGTGCTGAGAAGTCTGCTGTGATTGCGATAGGCTTTCCTTTATAGATGATTTGTTCATTTTCTCTGACACCTTTTAATATTCTGTTTTTATGTTGAATTTCTGAGATGTTGATACTATATATGTGGGTGTAGATTTATTTTGGTTATGGCTAACTGGAGTTCCATATGCTTCCCTTATCGGTATGTCAGTTTCTTTTCCCACTTCTGGGAAATTTTCTGCTATTGCTTCTGCAAACAGTCTTTGTGTATCATTTCTGTTGCCACTTGCTTTTTTGTTTACACTTATCAATCTTATTTTATTTTTCTTTGCATGGTCTTGCAACTGTTGAATAGTTATTTCCTGATTTCTTGGGTTTTTTTTTTAAAGATCTTTCCTTTCTTGTTCACTAGCTGCAATCTTGTCTTCAAGGTCAGAAAGTCAATCTTCATAGTCATTCAAATAGTTCTGCCAGCTTTTGATGCAATTTTTCATTCCTGCATATCTCTTTAAATCTATTTCATGCATTCTAATTCTTTCTTATATTGTTCATTCAATATTTCCATCATTTTGCAGTATTTCTATTATGTTTATCATTTCTTGTTTTACCTGAGAGATTATTTCTGATCTGAGTTCCTTTACAGATTCATGGAGTTGTTTCTTACTTCAGTTGTTATCATTTCAGAAGTTTCAGATTTATAGTTTCTTCTATGCCCATCTCTCCTAGGCTTGTTTGGTATGGGCTGGAGGTTTGAGATTGCATATTTCTCTTTTATTTTGTCATTTTCCTGTATTCTCCCCAGGGCAGCTGAATGCAATGTGTAAGTTGTTTCCTGTGTTGAGGATGGCTGTCCATACTGGAGTGAGTTTCTCCAGCTGTGTGTGAGTCATTAAGCAGGCCTTACCAGGTCCCTAGTGGTACTTGGAGTCTCCCAAATGGATAGAGTATGTTGGGTGGACCTCTAGCATGCCCCATACCATGCAATGATGCTTCCTGGCTGATTGGGCATGCATGTCAGGGCCCTACCAGATCCCAAGTTGGTTCTCACACTGTATAGCTAAGTGGTGAGTGCTTTGTAGGCCTTCAGCTCATGCCACACAGCACACCAATGCTTCCCAGCTACGTGGAGTCACTGGTTGGGGCCCTACCAGGACCCAAAGGGCACATCAATGTTCCTCAGTTGCTTGGGGTTGCTAGATAGGGCCCCACCAGGTTCCAAGTGGGTCCTCAAGGCTGCACAGCTAGATGGAGTACGCTATGTGGGCCTTAAGTTGTGTACTGATGCTCCTAGTTGCTTGGGGTCACTGAGCAGGGTCCTACCTGGTTCCAAATGGCATATTAAGGCTGGATGGCTAGGTGGAGTATGCTGTGCAGGCCTTCATCTTGTGCCACATCGTGCATCAAAGATCCACTAGTCACTCAATCTTAATGTTTCTTTTTTACATTATCTGAGACATTCATTCATATGACAAAGAGCAATAATAAAGGATTCTTTGCTTGCTTGCTTGCTTGCTTGCTTGTTTGTTTTGCTTGATTGAACAGGCATACTATTGTTTTATTCTAATGGATACATTTCTATTCAGTTAATTGAGTTTTCTTCCATTTATGACTTAGCTTTTTATTTTGTTATTTTATTGAAGCTTCGAAAAAGAAAAATCTTTAGGAAAATCATCCTGATAAGAATGAGTGAATTTATTTTCTCAATTTGTAAATATTCTATGTCACTTTAAATGAATCAGAGCTCTTAACTTCCTACACTGTATGGATATATATATATGAATATATATATGGTTTTATATATATATATATATACATATATATTTAAAGATAATAAAACCCTACAAAACAAAAAACAATGAAGCCAATCAAAAGAAAACAGTGAAAGTGGTACAGAATTTTAAAGCAGGATAATAGGAAATTAACAATGGCCATCATTGTATCTCATGATATCTTCATAATAATTGTCCATTCCATCAGACATAATAAAATCAAATAAAACAGAATAATACCAATCAAAACAGAATATTGATTAATAAAAACAACAAATTAGAACAAAACCAAACAGTGAAAACAATATTGGATTTCAAAAACAAGACAGCAGAAAAACTCCCGTATTTGCTATGTTGCATACTATTATTCACCTAATAGATGCTCAGACTACCCAGGCCTGCAAAGTCAATCAAACAGTACAAGCATTCAGTTGTTTTTGAACCTCAGCTGTTGTCAACTCAGCCTGTCCTCTGAACCAACCATTTGCTTGCAAGGAGGTGATGGAGGTGTTCTTGATTCACAACCTGCACATTGGCTGGCTCATGGGAATGGCTTACCCAGTGACTTCTTGATTTTGATGTGTTACTCCCAGATACAGCATGGCTTTTCTGTATGAATATATTTTAGAAGGCTTTGCCCTCCAACAAAGTTTTCAAGAGTCAAATGAAAGGAATTGTGTACCATTAAACTTAATTTTAAAAGTTTATCATGTTTTTACTATATATTGTAACTTGATTTCAGTAGTTGGTATAAGCATCAGTGTTCATCCATAGAAAATCTCAATCATAAAGGCAGGCTCTACACTCCTGCACTAAATCCTTGGCCAAGAATTGATGTTTCAACTGTAGCTATTGATTGATAGGAAATAAAGAAGAAAATATGAAAAAATTTTTTCAGTTGTATGCGGAAAATGAATTAAGAAGTAATTTATGGTGGTCAGAAAAAATGTATGCAAGCAAAAAAAGTAAACAAACATTCATCATTGTCAACTCTATTACAAATCACACTCTAATAACATTGTAGTAATTACTTTCTAGTTGCTGGAACCCAATACTCAATACTTGATAACCATAAATTAACAGAAGAGAAGTTTCTTTTGGTTCACAGTTTATAGAAGATTCTGTCCATAGTCAGCTGATTCCAAGACTGCAACATGGCACAGAGACATAGAAGAGGATGTATTTGTTCAAGGCATGACTGCCAGAAGCAGAGAGGGATCAAGGGACTAGGAGGGTTATATACCATCCCAGTGACTCTCCTGGTCCTATCAGGTTTCAATTTCCAACACCACACCCAGCTATAAAGTCATCAGTGGATTAATCCAGTGACTAGTATCACACACCTACAATCAAATCACCTCCTAAAAGTCCCACCTGTGAATTTATGAGGCTTCAGGGGGACATTAAGCTATAAAGCAAAACACTCATCTAAATAATTTTATGTATTTTAAATAACATTAACAATATCATTTTTCTATGTACATTGTTTTTGTAAGTTATGTTTTTCATTCATTTCTTACTGGTTTTTAACACAACTGTGCCTAAGTGTATTCAGAAACACCATATTTGTGACACCTATGCAAATTCAATTTAATGCATGCTATTGAGATATTTTATCTCATTGTTTGAAATATGCTAATACTTTTACTTGACTTTATAATAAGAAGTAGACTGAACATTTTTACCCATATAATAATTTCAGAAGGATTATTTGAAAAAAAGGTGGAGATTTATGTATAACTCAGTTTTAGAGCTCTTGCCTGACATGTGCAAGGCCTAGAGTTCAACTTCCATAAGAGTGAATTTTTTAAATAAGTAAAAAACTACAAAAAAAAACATAATAAAAGGTCATCTAAAACTCTGACAAGAATGATTTGAAAAATTCACTGCCTTTTTTTGTGTATGCATGCCCATCTATGTAGTCTACATACTTTAGCCATAGAAATGATAGCCGTTTTTTCAGGCATGGTTTATTTCATATGTTAATGGTTTAAATAAATTTTTAAATTAAAATAGGGATGGATGTTAGTTGAGACAGCACTTCATCTGTGAAAATATTCACTGAGAACATATATGCACATTTCAAGATATAGTATGACTACATGTAAAAATCTACACTTTTTAAATATTGAATACCATCAATCAAACAGATTTTAAAATGATCAAAGATTAAGATAATAATGTCTTTTGTTTCCTCTTGAAATTTTTATAGCAAATGAATTAGTGCCTTGGGTGTTCTCAGCTTTTTTATTAGATGCTCTCTTTCTACCGGCACTAATGTGGGTAATATCTCATTTACAGGTGTGGAGAGGATTTCAGCCAGGATAAGCAGCAGCTCTTGAAAGACCTCACCACGCTGGACATCAGTGGAACAGCAGTACCCTCAAGGATCCTGGTGTTTGGGGAGTTGGCCTTCCCCCTTGGAATAGATAACTCATCCAACTGCTTTCTTGCAGCTGCTCGCTATGGCTGTGGCCGTGTGGTAGTGTTAGGCCACGAAGTTTACATCATGAGCAAAAAAATGAGCCCATTTATAGTAAATGCTTTGCACTGGCTGTCAGAGAAGAAGAAAGGCAAGATTGGACTTCAAAATAAATTTAAAGTTCTGGGCCCTATGTTGTCAAATAATAAGCTGGAGTGGAGTGTAGCACAACATTTCATCAGGGACTTGAGTGTCTTTTGCTGTCAAGAACTTAACAGCAAGAATGTCAAGGAGATAGAGGAATTTGTGGCAGAAGGTGGAGGACTGATGATGGGAACACAGCTGTGGTGGCACAGCTATATGCACCCAGGATTTAATTGCATGCGCCATCCAAGTAACCAGTGCCTTGAAAACTTTGGTCTTGCCATCTTAGATGATACAGCCAATCAAGGATGCTTCCCAGTCTCCAAGCCAGGAATGAACAACTACCACTTCCTCAGAGCTCTATCCCAGTTTGAGGCAATGCTATATGAAAAGGGGAAGAACTTAGAAAAGAAATGCATAGATAATTTAATAAGAGATTGTAAATATATGTTTCAAATCCAACATAAGAACATCCCCATCTATGAGTCTATGAAGAATCATGTCATCAAAATGGTCAAATGGAAGGGCTTACCAGTCATAAACAAGAAAAAGAGTGTCAAGAATGGAAGCCCTGAGGCTGTCCTGATATCCATGGCTTGCTCACTGGTCAAAGCAGGAAATGACAGCAATCTATTCATCAGTGATCCATCCTTTCTTTCTCCCACAGAACTTCCCATCACTGTTGAGATCAATAAAGGCACGTAATGGAGAAAATGCCCTGGGTTGTGTGGGGACTAGGGGAATGGTGGGCTAGACTGCTTCAGCAGTACTCCACTGTCCTTTCTCCTGAGAAAGGCCATCTCTTTTTTTTTTTTTACCTTAAACTTTTAAGAAGAGGGAATTGCGGAATTGTAAACAAGGTATGAGGGATCTGTGTGACAGCCTTGGTGAGTTAAAGTGTTCAAGAGATCCTGTCACCCAGGGAGGGACTGTGGAAATCTGTACAAAGGTAGAACCTTTGGCAATTGAAGTTCTCAGCCTTTTTATGATTCTTATCAGGGCACTGCAGTTCTCGTGTGAGCACTGGACTCTACTTATGTGCAGGACAGATTGCAGAAGTTTCACTGCCTGAGACTGCTCTTGTTGCCAAACTGAAGGTACGATTCCAGCCCCTGTCTCAGAGAGGCTAATATTTCCTGACCACTTAGTTGTTGTCTACAGGATTCAGGATGGTCTCACCAAACCCACTAGGGAAGAAAATACTACCTCATTTTATACACAAGCAAAATATTCACAAAAGGCTGAACATTTTCATAAATTCTAAGTGTAGTATAGCATATAAAACACAAGACAGAGCATGGCACGTAATAGATGAACATAAAAGATAGTTTTGTCTTATCTTTAGCACAGTGCCAAAGCTTTGCTGAGCATTATTTTTGCCTGTAATAGTTAAAACACCCATATGTTGTTCAAGCTGCAACCCAAGTGTAAATGAAAGGATTCCTTCCACAGTGCTTTCTTATCTGAGACTCACTGGAAATGTCAAATGCATAGTTAGTAGTTGGTTTTTATAGTCAAACTTTGCCTTGGAAATGATTTTGTACATTTTTTTCAAAAGTCCAAAATAACAAATAATTATAATGAAAAATGGGTGCCCAAGAGACAGTGGAAAGGCAGAAGTGATTTTCCGTTTATTCAAGTGAAACTTGTCACTCTGGGATGATTCTTCCCTCCATCCAAGACAGAATTCTGTCCTTAAACACTCATGCGCTGTCCCTACATGGTATCCTTCACATTCAGAGATATTCATTCTGTGTCCTGAGTGATCTAATGAGCTGTGCTCTTGGTGACAGATACTCATTGGCTGCCAAACGGACAACATAAGTCATCATGCTAATTATCTGCGTCCACCCATGGTGACACACGAGTTCCTTTTAGATCAAGCCAAGAAGCACATCTCCTGGCTCTGGGGGGGCCTCCTGTACATCCTCGTACCATCTTCTTACAAACTGGGTACAGTGCCAGTCACCATTAAGGGTGCTGTGGCAGCTCCATACTTCAAATTGGGTAAGTAGGAGATTCCGGTCACCATAGGATCTAGACCAGATGCAAGTCTAGAGGGAGATGGAGCAGTGATTTGAGGGAGGTTGAGAGTCTAAGGGAAGAAGGGGATGAACTACCAGGGTGAAAGTGGGCTGAGCAATAAACATACTGTCTGGAGATACCTGAGAGGAAGATGGGAAAGGCCAGGGGTTTGTTTCACTTCATAACAAGAAAAGACTTTGATTCATTACCAGATTTTTCTTAATAGGTGATCTTACAAATGCTACAGTGGGAAGTGGGGAAGAGTGGTATGGCACAGGCTGTCTATTCCTTACTCCAGGTAAGACATCTCAGGAGGACTGGAAGAAGCTTACCGAAAAGAATGAAGTTCCATGGGGAGAGCTGGCCACGGATAACATCATCCTGACAGCACCAACTCCAGACCTCCTCCAAGTGAAAGACCCCGCATCTCTACTGCAGCTCTGGGACGAGATAATGAAGGCTGTGGCCCACCTAGCTGCCAAACCTTTCCCTTTCCACAGACCAGAAAGGATTGTTTTAGATGTTCAGATCTCAGCTGGTGGGTGCTCTGGGGGAAAACCTGAAATTTCTGTTTTCAAATTGAACAAATAGCATTGAATTGCAAAGCATAATTTTGTGGCAATTCTGAGAAAAGTCAGGCATAACGAAATGGAGGACAATATTCACGTGGAGCCATGTAAATTATTATTTAAATCTCCCAAGAAATGATATGTCATGGAACAAATAAGAATGAAATAAAATAAGAGTGGGATCTTTATTTGTGCCCTCATGGCTCACAGAAGACTCAAGTGGGATAAGAATTGGTATAAAAGGAGGAGAAGGGCAGAGACAGTCTTGAGCCGAATCAAGAGGTTTTGTTAAGTCTTGAGAAATCTGGAGAAAATGTAGGCAGCAGAGAAAAATGAAGAAGCCTGATGTCCATCTTCAGGTATTCAATGTGATCAATAAAAGGTATCTGGAGAAGTTGGAAAAGGGAGAATTTTTCTATTTTCCTTCAGAGTCCCCAGCACAGAGCATCAAGGCATGGAGACTTCAAGCACCTAAAAATGGGGACAGAATGAACAAGGATGCTCAGGGTTCCACTTCATATACACTTATTACTCAGGACTAAGTGGGAAGAAAAATTCTAAGAAAATAAGGAGGTAGATAAAGTAGGCAGCAAAAGAGATTGTTCAGAGAATAAAGCCAGATGCTACTAATCAGTGTAGGATTGCACACTGTGTTCTAGTATTCTGGGTGATGCAGAAGGTATTATTAACTAAAAGGATAATGTGTCATCTCTTTTTTCTTGTTGCTTTCTTCAGGTATTTTGCATTCTGGATACCCAATCATGTCAATAATGGAAGAAGCACCAAATATCCTTAATGAAAAAAAAATAAGAGCCGGTGGTCTATGGGGTGCCTTGCATGAGTTAGGCCACAACCAACAAGCAGGTGGATGGAACTTCCCTCCTCATACCACTGAAGCCACCTGCAACCTCTGGTCTGTCTATGTGAATGAGACGGTTCTAGGTGTCCCCATGTCTCACGCCCATTCTGCTCTCACTCCTGAAAGGCGGAAACAGAGGATAGAACATTACCTGCAAAAGGGAGCACCCCTGAAAATCTGGAATGTATGGACAGCTCTGGAAACATATCTTCAGGTACTGAGAAAATACAGAGAAATAGAGAAACCACCAGACCCTAAAGGCCCTACAACTCCTTCACCCTGCCTACCAGCTGAGGAAGTGGGAAATGAAATATAAGAGACTGGGTAGCATGGTGACAGTTCTTGGTGGTTCAGGTATTACTGACCTGAAGTGGATGATGGGTAGATACTGAAGTGTTTTCCCTCTCCACTCCGCCAAACAAACTATTGGAAATAAGTGAAGCACCTGAAATTATTATGAAAATATAGCTTAATAACATGCCTCTGGTCAGATAATCATACAGTAAAGCTCAACTTTGCCAGTTACAGTAGTTATGAGCTTTATAACTTGCAAGATGAGGACATGAAGTAGCTCAATATATTTTTAGAAAATATAGTAACAATAGTGACCTGATTGGAAGTATTCAAACTAGCATTTTCTCAAACCTCCAAAAATAGGAAAGTACTGATCCATTATAAAGTAAATAATGCTATGTTTAATGACTTTTTAAATCTTCGCTTCCATTTTTTTGCTGGATATGGGAAATAGTTTGAGGGGCTGGGGACAAAATTCAGCAGCCCAGCATGTGTCTAGCAAGTATGAGGACCTGGAAGAAAAAAAGTAAATGGAAATATATTGAGGAACGTCATCCCCAAAGCCCATATTTTGGGCATAGAATCCCAAGACTAAAAGACATTAGCAGTCCCCTGTTGAATGTGTAACTTATTAGAAAGGACAGACCTGACTTTGTAATTAATCAGAAAAAAATAATCCTAAAACCTGGTTTCCATATAAAACCCCTGTGCTTCAGATACTATAGCATACTGTGTTCGGATTTTCATTCTGTCTTCATAACTCCAAAAGGTTTGAGATTCTTTTTGAACTAGACCATGTTACTTATGGATAAGTAGTCTGTCTGAACATGTTCAGGAGAAAGTCAAAATTTCAGCTAGGAAGTTGACATCCAACTTTCACGCAAAGATCCTGGAGATAGACTAACTTTGATGCTGTTGGCCAAGTCTCAACTGCCCTGGGAAACTCAGACTGAAATTCCCACCAGATGGAACCTCCTAGGCTCCTTACTTTCCACTGTCAACACCATGGTCAAAATCCAACTTCTAGTCCAGTAGCCTGGACTTCTATCTATAACCTGAGCTGATCCACCTTCCAAAATATGGCCAAATAAACCATCGGTTTCACCCTATCACCCATCAAAAACTGCCAGTTGCCTTCCAATAGAATACCAACCCTTGTATTATTCATGCTGTGCCTTACTGTTTGCCTCCAGTGACAACCTCCCCCCAGTTACTCAATATACTACAAATCCACATGAATTATATTTTTTAGAAGTCTTCCCTGTGATTCATGTTTCTTTGCCTTTAGCAGGAGTGCTTTTCCTTCTTGAAAGAATTTTGTATTTCTATACCTAAAATTTCTATACCTAAAAAACACCTGCTCATCTCTAATGTGACTCCATGAATATTTTCCTTGGAGATTTTGTTTACTTCCTTCCCATGTTACTTTTTGGTCCTAGCATATCTTTGCAAACCCACAATTCAGTTATTTGTTTAACCACTTATTTCCATTTCCATCTGTGACTTGGGTTCCAATCATATACCATGGTACTTCAATCAAGTACCATAGACTTTCAATCATGTTTCATTATAATTAGTATTGGAAATTTCCAAATGTCCCAGGCTGTGAACACATCAGAGCAATGAAGAAAGAATAATACTGAATGGCTGAAGTCTTGGGACTAGTTCTCAAGTCTGCTATTCACAAAAATCCTGGATTCTTAAATGATAGGCCAGGAATCTGGTCCTTCTAGCATTGATTCTTCTACAATCCCAGCTATCCACTTTACAACCTTTAGCTACACAAGATGAGAACATACAGTCATGTCAGGCAGATTCACATCTTATCACTAAGCTTAGATGTGAAGGAAATGACAATGCTGAACGTAACTGTCATTGTCTGGAAACCTATGAAGGCAGTTTTGAGAAAGCACAGATACTATGGCTGAGGCTGGGAGGTGGCAGAATAAAATATGTGCTCTTGTCACAGGAATAAGCTCTAAGAGGAGGGATAAAGACAGAGACACAGCTAAGAATGAAAGTGTTCCACTTTCTTCAAAGCTAATCAATGCATTGCATGTAGAAATTGCTCTGTGTTTAAAGATAGACTCTACCAACAGCAAATGCTGGCAGGACTGTGGGAAATAAGGAACACTTCCGCACTGTTGGTTATACTGTAGACTGGTGCAACCACTGTTGAAAATCAGTGTGAAGATTCCTTAGAAACCTAGAATTGAATGTCTCATTGAATCCAGCTACTTCATGTTTATATCAGCACAATTTGTAATAGCTGAATCTTGGAAACAGCTTAAGTGTCCAATGGCAGAATGGATTTTAAAAATGTGGTATTTTTATGCAATGGAGGACTGCTCAATGATAAAGAAGGACAAACTTGAGGCCTTTATAGGCAAATGGATGCAATTTGAGATCATACTTATAGGTGAATTAAAACAGACTCACATGTGTAAATAACATATTATCTCCCTAGTGTAAAAAACTGAAAGAGTAAATAAGATAAAAATGTATATTAAATATTATGAGAGTCCAGGGAAAGAATCTGCTCAACAGGAGAGAAAAACCTGGATAGGGAAAAGAAGAAAGAAGGGAAAGACTACACACACACACACATATGTACACATAAAAAGATAACTATATACTAATCTCAGTTCATCAAAAAGAATGGTTTTGCTTTCATTGTTTGAGTGATCATTTTTAAATTCCTACATCTTATAATCTGAACAACTACTTTGAAGATAACAATATGCAATATATTAACCTTTGTTAATCTATAATTTTGTTTTGAAATTCTGTATTATTGTTTTTATGCTTTTTTCATTCTAAAATTAAAAAATAGCAACACAACACACATACAAAAAGAAAGTGACTTTTCCAGGCTACATAATTATTCTGTCCCTTCCTTTTGTTCTGTTCCAGCTCAAGGAGGGTTTTGGCTGGAAGCCATTCACCCAGATATTTGCGGAGTACCAGAAGCTCTCTGGTATCCCGAAAAACAATGCTGGCAAGATGAACCTGTGGGTGGAGAAGTTTTCTCAAATCGTGAAGAAGAATTTGGCACCTTTCTTTCAGGCCTGGGGTTGGCCTGTGAGTAAGGAAGTGTCCAATAAATTGGCCTCGCTGCCAGAGTGGGAGGAAAACCCAATGAAGTCATATACCTCTGGCCCTAAGAAATTATATTCATCTGACCCCATGCAGTTATATGTATGTGATGAGGGAATGTGTAAAATTGTAGAAGAATTCTTTCTGGAAGATCAGTCATTGGATTCAGCAGAGTAATCTGCACTTAAATTTCAACTTTAGTTTTTTTTTTTTCTTTTTCTCAATCTTATTCCAAATTGCCTCAGTTCCTCTGCAAGACAAATATTAAAGAGTTAATATCAAAATTAGTCATATGTATAATTTGATCAATTTCTGATAGATCAATTCTTTAAATTTAAGTGATCATTTCTTGATTTATTTATTTAATGTTAGCAGTTTTTATTAGTAGATAACAGAAATTGAGCAAATCTAGAGAATTAATTACAGAAATATATTTTTGGAGCCATTTATAGTATGTTTCTCCAAACCCTAAAATTATTTCATATATTTCAAAAATATTCTTTTTTCTCACTTATTTAAGGCAGAGGGTTTTTGGAATAGGAAAAAAGTTCCTAAAAAGTTAAATTTTAAAAATAGCCAATGTCAAAGTTCCAAAAGCAGAACTCACTTTGTGCAATGAACATAAGGAGAAACTACCACATAATTTTTTGTTTCTTTCTTTCAAATGAAGAAAATCTTGGCTTACGGGCTGCATAATTGTATTGGAGTAAATCTGAGTGATCCTACTCCTTTGGGGTAAAACTAGTGCTTACTGGTTTCCAATTGTATTTAGTTTGTGGTTGGAATTTGAAAAAAATAAAAGCCTAAATAAAAGAGGTGGTAGTTTCTTGACTATTCAGGTGAATACACACACACACACACACACACACACACACACACACACACACACAGTGAAATGGGGACTAGGAAATCATTTAATAGTTACTTCCTGAAAAATCAGCACTCATCTCTCAGCATCCTGGTGCCTAGCACATTTAGGCTCAGTTTTCCATACACCCTGTCAGTGGCAAGGCTTCTCTAGATACCTTCTAAAAAGTCCATTCCCTGAGGGAGCCAACACTATCTCTTACTTGTCAACCAAGATCTCTCAGTGATACACTCAGAGACACTTACGATGGAGCATCAGCAAGCCTGGCTGTCTCTTTCTTTAGAAATTCTTCCCAATTGTTGACATCTGTAGGTACTCAGGTAGTACCTAGAGTTTCTCCTTTTTATTAGACTCTATTGGCCAGAAAGCTCTCAATCTTTACCAACTCAAGTTGATTTTAGAATTGGACAGAAAAAGAGAAAAGGGTAGGGAGGAGAAGGTTCCCATCCATGGTCTACATCTTTGGAAAATAGAATGCTTTTCACCCTTGGTCTTAGCGTGCCACCTTCTTTAATGCCAATGCATTGCATAGAGAAAATGCTCTGCTTGTGCACATTAAATAAACAAACCCAGAAGAAAACAGTTAAAAGTAGTGCAGAACAGTGGAGAGAGATCTGAATTTACAACCAGGAAATAAAATGTCTTTTTCCTTTCTGGGTGACTTGTAGATACTCTCTGAGAATTATTTGGTTATTTGTCAAATAAAGACACAAAATAGCTCTAAGTAACTTCCATTTCATAAATGATTTGATTAGAGAAGAAATGTAATTAAGTTTGAATACTTAAATTCAGAACTCAGCTATACTGTCCCAAAATAAGAATTCTTTGGAGAGAACAGTGGGGCTGTAATGTATCTAATGTCTTTTGCCAGCATGCAGGCAGATTTTACTAACTAGTAAATTTTCATTTCATTGTGTTCATGTTGGCACCCCCAGGCAGCAGTCTGTTCTGGAGTGCTGATTGTGAAAATTACCCTGGAGAGGGTTGGCATGATTCTAACTCTTCAGGAAGACACCTAGAAAAAAAATACACGGGTCAAATGGAATTTCTATTTTTGGTATTTTTAGGAATCTTAGTACTGATTTTCATAGTAGTGGTACACTCCCAGTGAAAAGTGGTTCTTTTTCCCTGTAGCCTTGCCAGCACTTGTTATTGGTTGATTTCTTGATGATAGCCATTCTTTCTGGAGTGAGAAGAAGGCTCAGTGGTGTTTTATTTGCTTTTTACAGCCAGTGACATTGTACATTCTTTTATATGTTTTTACATGTATTTCAAAGCCAGTGAAATTGCTTTTCCTTTACATGTTTTTTGGCGATTTTTACCTTTTCAACTAAGCAGTATCTGTGCATTTTAGATTCCTAATTTTTTACTGGGTCTTTAAATGGAGGTCATCATTTTTGGTTGTTTCTCTAGTCTAAAGATGAGTCCTTTGTCTGAGATGTAGTTAGCAAAACATTTCCCCATTTTATAGGATGTCTCTGTTCTTTTTTAAATTTTAAAAAGAAAAAGGGATAAAAACAATGATACAGAGTTTCAAAACAAAATATTCAGAGATTAACAATGGTTAACACAGTACATATTAATATTAGTACATAATGAGAGGATTGGGTCTATGATTAGTCTTCAGCCTCTGGGTTACTTATTTTCCCAGCACCGTTTGTAAAGAGGCTGTCTTTTCTCCAGTGAAAGCATTTGGCCCCTTTGTCAAAGATAACTGAGTATGCCTGGAGTTATTTCTATGACCTTCTCTTCTGTCCCATCAATCCACAAAGTTTTTTTGTTTGATTTGGTGTTTTGGATTTTTTTGTGTAGAATTTTGTCCAATAATATGTTTGGGTTTTTTTTGTTTTGTTTATCTATTTATTTTTGTAGTGTAACTTTACATGGAGGATTTTGATGCATCTTGCCTGTCTTACTCTTGCTGCCCAGAATTGCTTTTGCTATTCTAGATCTCTTCTAGTTCCATGTGAATTTTAGGACCAATTTATTCAGTTTTATAAAGAATGCTATTGGTTTTGATTGAAATTGCACTAAATCTGTGTAACATTTTTGGAATCACAGTCATTTTTGTCATACTTGCTCTCCCTATCCGAGAATAGTGGGTATCTTTTCATTTTATGACATCCTCTTTGAAGTCCTTTTTCAGAGTACTAACTCACTCTACTTTGTGAAGTACATTTCTTTGTCTGAAACAATGTTGTATAAAAAATCATGACAGTGAACAAGGCATGCTTTACAATTCATGGGTGGTAGTTTTGGCAGAAGCATTGTGTGCAAGAAGGTCCAATCCATACTCAGAATAAGTATTGATGATTCCAGTGAGGACAAAGCACTGCCATGTCAAAATGATCCCACATAATCAGGCTCATCACCACACAGATTGGTACGTGACTGCTGGAAATGCAGTGTCGGTCTCTGTTGCTCACCATTTGGTCACTCAGAAGTAAATGCAGTCAGGACAGCCCCTGTGAGGGGAAGTATGTGTTGCTGGGCCCAGGGATAATTTTCCTCCTTGAATCATGGCCATTTTATTTTTGAGCCCATTGGGCAATGACGGGGTGACTGAGGAAAGAGGTTGACCAGTATCCACAGAACAGATCAGCCTAAGAAGACAAAAACAATGTTGGTGAGGATGCAGGAAAAAGGAACTCTTCTATGCTGTTGGTAGAAAATTAGTATACCCATTATGGAAATCAGTACAGAGGCTGTTCAGAAAATCAAAATTCGTGCTACTATTTGGTTCAGCTATGTCATTCCTTGGCACTTCCTTAAGAGATTTAAAGTCAACATACTATAGAGATGCCTGTTTATTTTGGTACTGTTTAAAATAAATAAGCTGTGTAAAAAGCCTGGATTCTCATTAACGGATTAATAGACAAAGAAAATTAAATATGCATACATACGTATATACCTATACCTATAATTATATATAATGGAATATTATCTGGCAATAAACAAGAATGAAACTGGTTCATTCACAAGAAAATGATTGGAATTAGAGACCATGATGTTAAGTAAAATAAGGCAGGCAAAGGAAGTTAAGTATCACATGTGATCTCTCAGGTGAGTAGCCTAAAAACCTTTTAGAAGAAAGATTCCATGAAAGTGAAGGGAGAATATTAGAGAAGAGGAAGGAGATTGGGGGAAGGCAGCGGAAAACGAAGGAGGGTAAAGAAAAAAATGTATATAGAAATGTACCGAAATAAAATCTATTTTTCCATATAATAAATATGCACTAGTAGTGAAGAACCAAACAAAATATTGAAGAAAGAAACTGAAAAGGGAGCTGCAAAAATAATAGAAATACATATTATATTCATGGATCAGAAGAATTAATTTTTAAATATCCATACTACCCAAAGTGATCCACAAATTGATGGAATTTCTACTGCAAATGTGATGTCACATGCTTCCCAGCAATAGAAAAACACTCATAAAACTTAAATAGAACAAAAAAGGCATCAAATAAATAAAAGAATTGTAAGCAAAAGACCAAACCAACCAAAAGAAAAGCAGGAGGTATTATAATGCCTTATTTCAAAACTTCCTACAAAACTGTAGCAAACAAAATAGAACAGGACTGACATTAAATATCATACTAAGAACAATGGCATAGACTAGAAAACTCAGCTCATGTGTTTATAACCAACTGATGAATGATAAATGTCAATCACATATATTGGATGAGGGAAAGTCTCTTCAATAAATAGAGCCAGAAAAGCAGAATATCTATTTGTAGAAATAAACAAATCTCATCTCTCCCTACTTACAAAAGTCAATCCAAAGTGGATCAAAGCTTTAAGTACGACAAAAACCCACCAAACTGCTATAGACAAACATGGGAAATATTTCATAATATTGATCTTGGCAAAGACACTTTATTTGACTTCAAAAGCACAGACAAAAAACTAACAAATAGGATTATATCGAACAAAAATATCTGCATAAAAATAACAAAATGAATGATGAAACAACTCAAAGGAGAAGGAAAACATTTTCAAATTATTTATATAACAAGGCATTATACATAGCCAAGATACAGAATCAACCTACGTACACATCAGGGGCTAAATGGATAAGGAAAATGAGGTACATGCCTATGTTAAGGATTAAGCAATGATAAAAGTGAGTGAAATCCCATTACAGGAATACGGGTAGACATGGAGCACATTAAATTAACCAGAATAAGCCTGGCACAAAAAGACATATACAGCACCTTCTCAGTTATGTGTGAAACCTAGAAGGCTGAACTCATAGGAGTGGAGAACTGAATAGTGATTCACAGGTCTGAGGAGAGAATGAAAAGAAG